GACCCGCGTGTATGGCACCCGCAGAAGCCGGGTAATTCCTCCGCTTGGCCTCCTATCATCACCGTTTCAACCTCCATTTCGCGGAAGTGCCAGGTCTCCTACACCGGCTGTCGGAGAAAATATGCCCGGACGGTTGGTAGGTCGTATTCTGCAAGTTAAAGTCCAGACTTATCACGGCACTCATATTGATGCTGTCGCACAAAAGAGCTGCCGTTCCGCTCTTCTTTCTAGATAGTGACGCAATTTGGTTTGCGACTGGGGGCGTGCTGTCAAAAGCCAAAAAATCAGGCTTCGGGCGCCTAATTTGCTCTGCAGCTAAACCACTTATTGTCGGGAGATATCAGCCCGTCGAACCGTTCCTTGTTGTCAGTCACCTCATTTTTTGCAACGATAACACATGAAGAATATGAAGGAAGCTAAAGCCTAACTAGCAGAACGGCAAGAAGTACTACAAGGAATCAAATTCGTCCACCTGTACCGACCAGGACACAAACACGCCCATGCAGACCCGTTTTCGCGCAGACCACCGTACCCACGTACAATCAACACTGAGGAGGCTGATACTCATATAGCCGCTATCACGGCCAGCGATGTCCGCCATGTGCTCCAAAACGGGGTGGGAGTATAGGCAGTGACTTGCGCGTGAAATCGTATATGCTGTTTGCAGACTAACCTCACCCTCCCATCCTGCCTCGCTTGGGCTCGGTATCATGAACCATTGAGGAAAACTAAAAACGAGACAGAGGGCTTAGGTAGCTGGCAGGACAAAAACACGCGTCTAGGCGTAGTAACGCAACCCCAGTTTTTTAAAGGTCCTATTTTGACCAAAAGTGACTTAAGCGGTCGGGAAACCCCTGCACCTTGCCGAGACAATGACAACATGACCGGTGCTGTAGTGCATTTGTGCTATTGTCATCCATGGAAATGGTCGAGAGAGTCGTATATGTGGTTTGGCTTGACTTAAGGTAGATCCGAAGGACACGCACCCGCCAGCTGAATTAGCGTTGAACACGTTTGATTGCATCCCGTTGTGAATAACTAAATGATCCCAGCTTATCGAGTTCAATGTCAGAAACATGCGGTAAGAATACGCGCATGGACTAGTCTGCACAGTCCGACAACCAGGATGACATCTTAATCGCATAGGTCATCACTTGTACATCGACTGGCAGAGCTAACCGACTACAAATGTGGGCGGGTGGTTTGACATCCTGACTGACTGACAGGCGTAATCCTTCGCATAATCAGAGTAACAGTTGTACTCACTTTCAACAAGGCTAGTTAGCAGTTCAATTTACCAGACGGCATACAATTTGCCTATCAGTAACTTTTTGACTGCAAGGTCAACTGAGCCATTGACTGACGTAAAAGATATACTTTCACAAATTGGACAGAAATTGTCTGTCGTGTGGTTGTGGAAAAACTGCTTGGTAAACGCCAGGTTTTTTGACATGCCCATGGATTTTGAATTCGTCAACAGTCATAAAATGCCGACAAAAGAAACTGTTGTATGAACTTTCGGATGCTCTGTTAGTTGCAAATTAGCTGAATTGTCGGTCTGCTTCGATTTACTGCATTTTTTGAGAAAAATGTGTATAACCTAAGTTACTTATTTAAACTTGCTTATTCCGTGCAAAAGAAAATTGCCATACATTCGGGTAATTGCTTATTTTAGTTCATTTTCTAAACATCGCTGACGCATTTAAGTGTCTTTTCTCAGAGAGTAGCGTACTTTACTCTCGAGAGGTTTACTAGGCAGAGGGTACCGTACAAAAATTGGTCTTTTCGCCCAATATTATTTGTAAGCACAGCTTTTAACGCATACTTTATTGTTAGAAGACCAAATGTTTACAAATTTTAACAGTCAGATTATGATATATATGCAGTCTTCGGTCTCCAAGCACCAACGAGACGCACACCTATATTACTCAAATTGTCTTGCCACCAACAATTTCTTTTGCAGTCGGAGATATTATTACAACCAAAGGGTTATTTTTACTTTGAACATATGAAACATTGTGTTTTGTAGGGTCTAGCTTCTGTGGTTAGGTAGATGACAAATTGAGAGTGTAAAATATTAACGGTTTCAGCGAAATGTCGATATGCAAACGGCCAATCAACCGTGCATTCGCAATTGTAGAACGGAGCCAAAGGAGAGCAAATAAAGTTAAACTGACCGCAACATAAAGAAAAGCACTTTCTTTTGTTTTTGCTTTATGGCAACGTAAAAGGACGTGACGCGGACAAGACTATACCAATGCGCTGATAGCCGTGATTTAGGTGGTTTCCAATTGATGAGACAACTTAATACTTGCAGTCACCCCACTGTGAGTTTCATCAGAGTGACCGGCTGGTAGACTCGGAGTCAGATTTCAGCGGCCGCTCCTTATTGTAAATTTAACGGGATCCCCGCTCAGTGGAATCCGCGATCATGTGGCCACATCCCCTACGTTGCGGATCTGCGGCGTCCTAGCTTCCAGCGCCTCTTTTCCGCCTCCTGATTTTTTGACTCTGTTATCAAATCAGGTCCAGGTTCGGGAATTGAGTGTGTGGTAAATGCTTTGCAGATAATTGCCCCTGCGTCAATGCTACTATAGAACTCACGGTGGGCATGGCTGGAGTTGACTTTCAAACGGTAGATAAGTAGCTTTTTCTCTGTCGAGCTCTTCCTGCAAAAAGACTCCCAACTCCGACCTAAATTATTAACCTGGCCTCGTCAAACTGTGGGTCAGATCGCGAAATCTAACACCAAATCACCATTACGGATAAAACTGGTTGTTGCCGAGAACGAATGTCCAAACTGAACCCTTGACTAAAGGCAAAACGTCTAGTTCTGTCCTAACCGCAGCCATATTTCGAGCGGTACCCTAAGGACGAACTGCTATCGTAGCACCTATCGAAATATTTATCCCTAGCTTTGACTAAATTTCTAAACATTGCCATGTTTGTGCATGCCTAACTGGACTTTCTACTGTTTCACAGAATGAACTTTGGAGCTTCTTATCCCGTGGGAGTTAAGTAGACGAGACTTAATTGTGCATATCTCGTGCACGCATCAGTTACTAAAGTGCTGACGGATGTGGCTAGCTACTAAAATTTTTGCTATTGTAAAATTCTTATCTAGCTTCCTTACCTAGCAATGTTCCGAAATTAATGTGAATACTCACCATTGGCGTTCTTCGCTCAGAGCTACTTTGGCACAATGACATTTCAGTTCTTCGAAGCTACCAAAATAGACAAAAGATTTTTGCATTTTGCACGGAATTAACGAATAAAATTAATGACTTGCGATTGCGTCGAGCGCAAAATATTGTATGAAAAGTTATTTTATTCCGTTCAGGCAAAATACATGCCATCACACATGGTGGTTAACCCATAGCGAAGTTAGCAATAGTACTCCAATGTCATCTCCGAATGCACATCATCTTTTGCCTGATATGATAACATGTCCCCAAAAGCAGGATCCTAGATAAAATATCAAAATTGAAGTATTGATCTTGTCTGTTGGAACTCAAATCAGTGTTTGTCTAGGAAAAGCAAAGAGGCTTTGGCGCGCCGGATAGATTTGTGCAATTTCACAATTCAGGGTGCAGTTTGTTGAGGGAAAATAGGGTACATGGCCAGTGGTCTTGAAAATTGATTAGAGTTACCCAGATCGATCTTTACCTAAACTGGAAAAACTCATAGGATGAGCATCTACGTTCTCTTAAAACTTGTAACCATTGAGTAATTGACCTTAAAGCAAAGAAAACGGTAATCAGAAGGTATGAAATTTCCAAATGTTGGCTTGCCGTTTGGAAAAAGAATAGCCTATATTACTAGAATTCAAAATTAAGAATGTCCAAGTATGCGGCGAAAGCATCGTAGCACAAATACCCCAGGCATTGTAATTATCTACTTCTAAAATGGCAACAAATAATTCGCTAGGCAGTAGTCGTCGTTAAAACAAAGCCATTGCGGCCACAATTGTTTCGTGCAGCTAACTCCAGCATCACTGTTACGCGGTGTGCGTCCTTCTAAGAATTTGTTCGAAGGTTGGAGTAAATTGCTTACGTTATGTCAACTCTCAGCAGGAGACTATGACACGCTGACGTAGATGACAGACACTATGGATAACCCTTCAATACCAATACTTCAAATAAAACGGCCATGGTTGTGAAACTATTACTAAATAATATCTACGACGATAGGTTAGGTGACTTTCAAAAATAAGGATGAGGAATTCAGATGGATTCCACTGCAAAGTATACGTCAGGAACGTCAGATAATTTCCTGCGTTTGTTGAAAACGCAGGCATATGCCTTACTTGACAACGTGTCTCCTAGGTCTACATTCCTTAACGGACACAGTGTAGGTGAACGGATACTGCCGAATGTTCTAATAAAAGATGTATTTTGCGATTTAGAATGTTTTATTTTGAAACATTGTGCTATTAAGATTGCTTGCATGAATCTACCCACGCAATTGGCCACTGCCACTAAAGGACAACCCACCAAAATATTTCTGCTGAACGCGTGCCAGAGTTATAGAAATGACCTAGATCTGGTTTATTCAGAATCTGCCCTTCGTCCTGATTTTGATTCGCGACACCGATCTTGTCAACTGGAAACGCATATAGAGAATGTTTTTTTTCGCCCCGATGTGTGGGAGCTGGTTGAGACGGTTGATCGGGAGGAAGTATTTCGGTAACACAATCATTGAGCGCACTTCTATCAGGGCAGCCTATTTTAATTTCTCTGCGCAAAATATGTAAGTAACAAAACAGGACATCCGATTTTCAAGGCTTGCAAAGAACTAAACAGAATTGTAAAGAAGATGAAGACCCGATCTCTGGGACAATGGGTTTATTAGTCTGAGCTTTCGGTCTCGTACAGGAGGCCATCGTCAGAGACTGTGAGAAGGCAACATCAAATGAGTGGTTTTTGTAGTCACGCCATGCAGGGGGGGGGAGATGTGAGTGCAGAGGGTGGTATTCGCGATAAGTTGCGTCCCACGCCATCTCACGGTGGCGTGACTGCGTGCACCCTTGGCTGGAAATTGGGTCTCGCCCCTTGGCCGCGGGAACGGAGCGCGTGATAGCAGGGGGGTATATCAACATGCCTGTTGATAGCGTTGGTGTCCGAGACCCAGGCCTCTAACAGTTCTCGTCCTGTCTTATTGCTGGCCCGCGCCACTATCCGCGTGCTCGCGAAGTTGAATTCGTGGCCTTCCTCCAGGGTGTGAGTGGCGACCTGAGACAACGGGTCGCCTCTCCGGACCGCCCGTTTGTGCTCCGTCATTCGTGAGCTGAGTCGTCGCCCGGTTTGTCCAGTGTAGTGGCGAGGGCAGTCCCGACATGGGATCTGATAGACGACGCCCGATTGTTCACCCACGTCTAGGCGATCCTTCACTTGCATGATTTTGCTGCGCATGGTCGCTGTCGGACGGTGAGCGATACCCACGCCGAGCTCTCCAGCGATACGTTCCATCGCTTCGGATACGTTCTTTATATACGGCAGAGGGTGCCAGAGTGTTGGTGGCTCTCCTCCGTTTGTTCGCCGTGGGCGCGTGCGGAGGCAGCGGCTGACGAAGCTGTTCGGGTATCCATTCCTTGCCAGTTGGTCCCGAAGATGCCGAAGTTCTCGTGCTCGTCCCTCTGGTTCACTGCAGTGCGTTTTTACTCTCTGGAAGAGTGTCCTAACACAGCTGCGTTTATGCGCCATTGGGTGGTTACTGTGGTAGTTGAGAATCTGAGTCGTGTTAGTCGCCTTTCTGTACACCGTGGTGTTGAGTTCGCCGTTGGGTGTGCGTGTGACGAGGACGTCAAGGAAAGGCAGCTGTTCGGCATGCTCTTCTTCCCTTGTGAACTGGATGTCTGGGAAGATGCCGTTGAGCAGGTCTTGGAAGTCGGCCAGTCTACTCTTTTCAATTATGACGAACGTGTCATCCACGTACCGGCGCCAAAATGCAGGTTCATAGTGGTCGAAGGCGACTTTTTCCAGTTCCTGCAGGACTAGTTCTGCAACCAGGCTGGATATTGGCGAACCCATAGGCGTTCCTTTGATCTGCTCGTATGTTCTGCCATTGA